TTTCTAAATAACAGGACATATTAGTTGTTCTGTGCTACTATTATCCAAGAGGATTCATCAAAATTATTCCGAATGATTAAAAAAGAAAGACAGAATCAACAGCAGATAAGCAGTTACTGGAACAGTAGGATACCATGCGAGTATTGGAACTTTGATTGGAATATATTCATTATTCAATGTAAAAGGAATAACCTTTTAAGGTCAAACATAGAAATGGTCAATCTAATGGTCAAGAAAACGTATTCAACCATATACTATCTTATTTCGAAATTCTTTGATAGTATGATCGATAAACTTGTAAATTAGCACTATCTTCACCTGAAGTCATTAGTATGTATAATATCCTTTAGGTTCTAAAATATTAGTACTTTAAAGGATTTGTGTAAACAGTTGATTTTCAAAATTTGCATTACTGACTGATTTTAGTCGAATTGTAGTGTGGTCTACTCATATCCATATAAGTAGTATATGGTGGTGGTCAGACACAGAAGGTATTTTGGTACAAGATCGATAAAGAACGAACAGGGATGAAGCGCAATCGCTACAAAAATGCATGAACAATGAAATCAGAGAAAACGGACTGATATTTGTAGAAGAAACAGTTAAGATTGAGACAATCGATTGTTATTTTGCGAATTAACTGTTTAGTGTATGGTTAGAAGAATTTAGTGAGATAGTCTGTAATTTGTGCTTAAATACATTCGATTGTACCCAGTCGTGTTCTGTTCACTACAAAGTAATCATTGAAAAGCAGGCAGCCATGGTATTTGACTCCTTGATAGTGCGTAACCCAAACCTCAGATCCTGTAGTCATTTTTCAATCTTTAGATTATTAAACTGGAATTTAATATTGTATACGTCTATTATTCATCAATTTGCAATATTACGCAACCTCATTTCAATACTATGGGTAATTAACTGATTAACAGCTGATATTTTCTTCACTGATTATGGCTTACTTAAAATCAATAATAAAAGTTATTTTTGACACTTTTGGTTATAAAATTCCAATTCCATTTCACAATAAAAAATAGTTTTTCAGTGAATATTATTTTTCAACCGTTTCCTATCAATAATTTATTGAAAAAAAATTTTTTTGTTAAAAAAAAATTTAAAACAAAAACTTTTTTTTACTGTTGAAATTAATAGGAGGCTTTAAAGATAAACTAAATTTTGAGTAAGTATTTAACTGAAAAAAGTGTTGAAGTTAAACTTTATTGAAACTATTCAAAATGTTATTTTATGTGGTATTATAGTGATCTCATTTCAGTTTCGATTCTTTAGAATGTTCTTACGAATTCTTCAGATACCATACTCTTCAGCTCTCTTGAAGACTCATGTAATTTTATAAAACCTAAATAATTTTCTTAAACTATATGTAAAGATGTCAAGATAGTCCTACTGTATGCAACTGAAATGTGGATGACTACTACATCCATTGTCAAGAAGGTTCAAGTATTTATAAACAGTTGTTTACGCGAAATACTCAACATTCACTGGCCTGATACTATCAGCAACAACGTTTTATGGGAGAGGAAAAACCAGATTCCATTTGAAGAAGAAATTAGGAAAAGACGTTGGAAGTGGATAGGACATACATTAAGGAAATCACCAATGCGCATCACGAGGCAATCCATACCTTGGAATCCTGAAGGGAAGCACGAAAGAGGAAGGCCAAAAAACACAATACGTCGGAAAAGAGAAGCAGATATGAAAAGAATGAATGTTAACTGGAAAGAAGTGGAAAGGATTGCTTGGGAGAGAATTGGATGTAGAATGCTGGTGTGCGGCCTATGCTCCTCGACGAGGGGTAACAGGCGTAAGTAAGAATATGTAAAGATAGTTTTTTAGTAAATTATTTCACTAGCAGTTATCTTCAGAGTGTGTCGTTTATTAAAATAGCCTAGTTCTCACACGTTTGAATTTTCATTTACAAAGAGATGAAATAGAAATTATTCTTGTTTAGAATTATCCTTCTATTCTTTAGAGCTGTCACTAAAATACAAGATTCATTTAGTAAAAGATATTTTCTGTAGGGTGACATCTCAGACAACCTTCAAATGTCATGAATTTCTTGAAAAATTCGTTCAAATTTCATCATAAATATGACATAGCATAGTTCATCTAATTATTATGTAGACTATGCATAGGTAATAATGTAAAGCTTAAAATGGTTTATATTGACAGAAATGAGACAGAAATTTCATTCAACATACATTTGTTTTAATTTGAATCAATAGACTCAAAAGCACCTACGTGTTAATTATCAATAAATTTGACATTAACACCGTTGGATGCTAGTCGGCTCAGTGGTCTATCGTTTAAATGCTCGCGCGCGAGACTGGTAGGTCCTGGGTTCGGATCTGGTGAGGCGTGATCATGGATGCGCACTGTTAAGGAGTCCCATTATAGGAAGGAACGGCCGTCCAGTGCTTCTAGGTTTTTCATGGTGGTCTAGCTTCAATTGACTGATGATCTTAAATATATGAAATTTGGCTATGTTAAATTTAAAACAAAGAAATATGACACTATTATTTTGTTTCCATGATACATTTTTAGAGGAACTTCAAAAAAAGAAAGAACAATTCATTGAACTTTTTTTGTGTTCATTCATCAATATCATTTTTTATAGACAAATCAAACATTATTTCGGAGTTATTATTCATTTTTAGAAGCCAATTATAATACTAATCTAAGCGGTCATGATTTACTAATTTTTTTCTTTTTTACTTCGCCTGAGAAGATGATCAATATCATACCGAATTCCTATGATGCAATAAACTGCCAAATCATCCATGGAGGACAACTCACTGACTCTTTTGAGGTAAAGACTAGTGTCAGACAATTGTTGCTTACTCTCACCCTTTCTCTTTCTCCTGGTGATCGACTGGATCATGAAGACACCAACATCTGTAGGTAAGCACGGGATAAAATGGACAGCTAGGATGCAGCTGGACGATTTAGACTTCTCAGATGACTTGGCACTTCTATCACAAACGCAACAACAAATGCAGAAGATGGCCGATGTAGCAGCAGCCTCAACAACAGTAGATCTCAATATGAACAAAGGGAAAAGCAAGATTCTCCGATACAATACAACATGCATCAATCGAATAACACTTGACGGGAAAGCTTTGTAGGATGTGGAAACCTTTACATAACTGCGCAGGATCATCGATGAACACAGTGGATCTGATGCAAATGTGAGGGCGAGGATCGGCAAAGAAAGGGCAGCATATTTACAACTGAAGAACATCTGGAACTCAAAATAATTGTCAACCAACACCAAGATCAGAATTTTCAGTACAAATGTCAAGAAAATTCAACTGTATAGGGCGGAGACGTGGAAAACTACGAAAGCCATTATCCGAAAGTCACAGGTATTTATCAACAGTTGTCTATGCAAAATACTTCGAATCCGTTGGCCAGACATTATCAGCAACAACCTACTGTGGGAGAAAACAAACCAGATCTCAAAGGAGGAAGAAATCAGGAAGAAGCGCTGGAAGTGGATAGGACACACATCGGGGAAATCACTCAACTGCGTCACAAGACAAGCCCTCACATGAAGTCCTGAAGGCCAAAGAAGAAGTGGAAGACCAAAGAACACATTACGCAGAGAAATGGAGATAGACATGAGAAGAATGAAGAAAAACTGGAAAGAAATATAAAGGAAGGCTCAGAACTGAGAGGGTTAAAGAATGCTGGTCGGTGGCCTATGCTCTATTGGCGGTAACAGGAGTAAGTAAGTAAGTTACTTCAAAATTTACAGAAGTTATATGAAGTACTGAATGATTAGTACTACATTTGCATACAATGATTTTAGTAAGATTAACTGTAAACTATGAATACGGCTGTTCTATATTTTTATAGAACCCTGAATTCAATGTGTTCCTATCGTTTTTAACTAATTTAATATATCTGTTATAGGATGGAGGACTTTTGAAAGATTAACCATTTAAGAATGATCATTAACAAGTAAATTCATAGTAATTCGGTTTATCATACAATGAAAAACAGTTTGTTCTCATCTTAAACCTACCCTGTTAATATTAGCTTATGATCCAGAGTGATTAGGTTTCAAATTGTTTTCACATTATTATTATTATTATCTTTGTTTACTCTTATCCCCCATTTCCAGTCTAGTTGACCTTTTATTTTTATATATAAATGTTCTTAACATGTATATATGTGTGATCAGATTGTTCGAAATGTATTGCGCCAATAGTTCTGACAATCTTCGTCTTCTTATTACACTATCAACATTTATCAAATAAAATAATTGCTTCAATTTCGTTGATCGGTTAAAGTTAGATATTAACACTGTTGGATGCCGGCTCAATGGTCTAGTGGTTAAGCGATTCCGCGCGAATATGATAGGTCCTGGGTTCAAATCTCGTGAGGCGGGATCGTGGATGCGCACTGTTGAGGAGTCCCATAATAGGACGAAATAGCCGTCCAGTGCTTCTAGATTTTCCATAGTGATCTAACTTCAATTGATTCATGATTTTAACCATCCTAATTTCTTTAAATTCAAAGAACATATAATCAGAAACGATCAATCACATTTCAAGTTATCAATGTTTTAAACAAAATAATTTCATGGAAATAAATCAAGATTTTTTGGGTAAAAATAGTTTAATTATGATAATAAAATTGAATAACAAAATCAATTAAATTATGACTGATTATATTTACCTATGTAGGTTATTGATAAATAAAAATAATCACAGGGTAATAGAAAGGCTTTTAAGTTTTATAGACCCTGTTTTTTTTCTATCATTCAATGAATTTTTGTAAAAATATTATTTACAATTATTAACTTAGATGAGATAATGTGAGTACAGCCCAAAATGAGGAAAATAAATAACAGTCGAAATAATGTGTTTCTCAATAATGACATCTACTTCTTTATTTAAATGTTCATTATGTGATTGTTAACTATCTTTTGATGGTATATCATGTCAATATCTGTCTCTTATCTAACAAAACAGACAGACTTATTTATCTCCATTCATATAATTTGAACAATCATAAGTTCCATTTGGTGTCCATTCACCGTCATTTTCTTCAGCAACATCACCATTGACTAGTAATGATTGTAATTTTGAACTATTTGTTAAACCAGCTAAACGTAGTATACGTTTCTCAGCCGCTTGAATTATTCTTTCTAAACTTTCATAATTCAATGTTTTTAGTAATCGTATGATTGAATTTCGTACAATTTTTTCATTCTACACATTTAAAATTATTAAAGAAAAACATTTTTCGGAATCATATTGATTAAAAAGGAGATTTATTTAATTAATTACAAAACACTGAAATAAAAATGACTAGGCAGTTTGAACAAAGCCCATTCAAACTGTGATTTATAAATACAATCGTACGTTAACAAATGCCCTGGTATGGCCGAGAGTGAGACGAGTTCGCTCTCCCTCTCCAAATGCTCTCACATGGCCACGCGTATGTAGCCTCTGTCAGAAAAGTTCTACTCACTGGCTTCTCGCACCACGGGTGTTGTTTACGAAATTGAGAGGACGAAAAGCGAATGTCCAGCTTTTTAACCGGGTCGGTGAATACCGAGGGTCCACCTATAGGAGTTGGAAAACCCTGATTCCAAACCAATGGTGTACATGGGCTCCAGTATCCTGAGGGAACAAATGGAGTATGAATACCATGGGACTGTATCTCCTAACGTTGCCCAACTATCTTGTGGATCAGATCTTTAGGTCAAAGGTTCGGGGTGTGGCCCCCTAAGGAAACCACCTGCTTCAGTTTGGGCACCTGTGAAGTATCACAGCCCTCATACAAATCAAATGAGATTTGTGTGGCGCATATATATTTGGTGCCCCTTTGTACAAATATTTATGTTTTCAAATAAAATAAAAAAAATAAAGATACTGAACAGAAATTTACCAACTTAAGTTGATGTGTTTTAGAGCATCGATAAAAATGAGAAACTTTTGAATTAAAATGAAAAACTCAGGCATGTGTGTATAATAAAGTAGGGAAAGTTTAACTATTCAATGGTTGAATTTATCCATTTTTGGTAAGATCATTTTTGATACAGGTTGTATTAAATTATTAACCATTAATTCATAATACCTCAAGAATAATTAACAGAAGTTCCAAACTTCTCATCTTGGAGAAATCCAACGGTGAAAAACATATTTTATTGACGATATGTTACACATACTTTTACCTTGGGTAGATTAAAAATGAATGAACCTGTATCCAATTTTATCAATCATTACTTTAACCAAAGATTAAGGCTATAGTAAGAGCTCTATCCAGGACGTTTGGGTTTACGTACAAGTTTGAGGTAGACAGTAAATGGTTTGATGGTTTGATGCAGTATCTTGATATGGTCTTTACTAGTTTTTATCAAGCCTACATTTATGCCGGTGAGTATTACGTTTCATGATGAAAGGGTTGTATAACATTAGTTATAACCGGTTCGATAGGTGAGAACTTAAAACACCAACATCAGACCTGATTATTCTATCAAAACTCAGCATTACTCAACTTATGACTTTACGATACACTACCAGTGATTGGAAGATATATATCATCAAATGAATATGACTTACGTATGTTTCATTTTTTTCCGATATAGACGACATCTCATATTTATTTCATAGATTCTGAACACTTATTTTATCACAGGAGCATAGATATCTTAATATTAAGGATTATTATTTGTGTTTTGTAGTTAATTGATGGGAAAAACAGCTGATTAAATTATAAAAGTCAATGGGTAATAAATGTGTAACTGGAAATGAAAATTGAAGTATCACATCGGTTACCACCGGTTTGTGTAAATATACCAGTAACCTCTTAATGGGCATGCTAAGATTTTATCTATTAATTTATAATCTAGTTAATTGAAGCTAGCAGATATTCTATTCTATCCTTGCTAGTGTCGTTGATGAATACTATTGCGAAGGTATATGTTAAGATTAAACTGTTAGTAAATCAACCTGTTTTTTTAAAATCCCGTCTAATGATAAAGTTAGTTAATGGTTCGAATTAAAAAATCTCCATACAAACTTCCCATATCTTTTATTTTGGCAATCAATTATATTTGTGTGTGTGTACAGGTTATCAGGTTAATCTATCTGTCTATGTCTTTGCGATTAAAGGGTTAGTTGAATTCGAAAACCAGCGTATACACTTACATTTTTCTTACTAAATTTATTTATATTCTAAAAGGAAAACGTAAATGAATAGCAGAGAGAGAGAGAGGGAATATTTGAATGACTGAATAACTATACTTACCTTCTGATCAATCGATTGCAGTCGTTTAGCAGGTGAAGAAATTTTATTCTTATTTATCGGTTTTAAGCCATATTCTTGACGAATTTTACTTTAATTACCAAGAAGAAAGTAAACATTAAAGAAAATTAATTTAGATAATAAAAGAATAGTTAAAATCATGAGTAAATTGAGGCTAGACCACCATGGAAAACCAGGAAGCACTGGACAGCCGTTTCGTCCTATTATGGAACTTCTCAACAGTGCTCATCCACGATCCCGCACTCACGAGATTCGAAACCAGGACCTACCAGTCTCGAGTCAAAGCCCTTAACCGAGATATTTCCTTGAGTTCTAGTGGGAAGCAGTGGTCAGTGGAAATCATCCAGGTCTGTTGTAGAGATATCAACTCACTGAAGACAATTGATGAACGGTCGCTCTAAATCGTGGATTGGTTGAAGTTAGACATTAACACCGTTGGATGTCGGCTCAGTGGTCTATCGGTTAAAGGCTCTGGCTCGAGACTGGTAGGTCCTGGGTTCGAATCTCATGAGGCGGGATCATGGATGCGCACTGTTGAGGAGTCCCATAATAGGACGAAACGTCCGTCCAGTGCTTCCGGGTTTTCGATGGTGGTCTAACTTCAATTGATTCATGATTTCAACTGTGAAAATACTAAAATCTCCACAAAACCCTCTCTGATCATTAAAAGAATAGTAGATATTAGAAAAGGTGGTTGTTTTATTAAATTAATTCGCATGAATATAATTTATTGTGACAGATGACTTCGACTAGACAATAAGTAGTTGATAGTAAAGTGGACGAACACTTGGTGGGGATAACCAATCTATTGTTTAATCCAAAATTACAGATTGTATTCATAAAATATGAAAACCATACATTAAATACATAATTTGCATATCTTCTTTCACTTATCCATTACATGCATCATAATTATTTCAATTCTGTGGTTATTCTTACTCTTTTGTGTTTTCCTTTCTGTTCTTTTCAACTCAATCTTCTTCCAGGCATTTCACTTCTGATTGGTATTACATGCTACTCATATCCGTCAAAACAACTAGCATACATCATAATAGGATAAATTTTGAACCACTGTTTTCGTCAGTGACCTTGAGTGTTGTTAGAGGTATGAAGGCAGTTATCACTTCCCGGTTGCCCACACCGTGGGAGGGTTCTTCTAGAGGTACATGAAAAGTAAATTGGATTAGAAATGGTCTTAATGATCTGAGAGCGTGACCGCAGTGTCCAAGGGACAACTGCTCGAGGTCAGTCACACAAGACCTTTTTGTGGGGGATTTTCGAAGTGTTAGCTCCGTTCTTCAACGGACCTTACAGCCGGAGACGGAAATCCGTGGGATAAGGCGAGGTGTACATTTTTAGGGTCGACCTTTTCTAACCCCACCCCTCCTTGAGGCAAGGCAGCAGCGCTGTTATGCTGGTTGTCTGAAGGAAACACCTTACTGCCGTCATACCTCTTCACAGTCAACAGTACGACTACGCCTTCGGACCTTGGGGTTGCTGCTTTTAGTCTTACCGCTCTTCAACCGACCTGTCTGACATGGTAGGACCTTGAGGAACGATTGTTCCAGCCAGTACAGCTCGATTGATTCATCACGATAGGCAAGCTCGACCACCACGTCATCAGACTCTATGTGATAGATTTTCCTATGTCTATTTATTTGGTTTATTTACGGTTGAAAAAAAACATTTCCATGGTCCAGTGCTCAAAAATCTAGTTTGCTGTTTTCAAAATTAATATGAAGTCATTTGACTTTGAGAAATTGTGCAAGCTAACATGAAAAGTAAAGAATATGAATAGGTTTTTGATGTACAATTTGAGAAATAAATCTCATGTTAGAATAAATAGTATAATTCTTTTTAGTATCATATTGAAGGATAGCTTTCTACATATAGCAATATACTATATTCTAATCAAAAGTAGTAGTATCATCATTATCATATAAATTTATTGCTTTTCAAATTACATCATAGTGACTTACTGTAACAATTTTGATTTATTTAAAAAATTGATCAGAAAAGGTTTTGTGGAGATCTCAGTATTTTCATAGTTGAAATCATGAGTCAGTTAAAGCTAGACCACCATGGAAAATCTAGATGCACTGGGCAGCTGTTTCGTCCTATTATGGGACTCCTCAGCAGTGCGCATCCATCACAATTTCAACTATGAAAATACTGAAATCTCTACAAAACCTCTTTTAATCTATAATCATATGCTCGCTAGTGACTGATTTCAAGAGATATTTCCTGAAATTCTAGTGGGAAGCCGTGACCAGTGGAGTTCATCCACGTTTGTTGTACAAATATCAACTGACTGAAGACAATTGGTGAACGGTTGCTCAATTTATTTTAAAAAATATTCAACTAATTAGTCATTGAATTGAATAAGCCAATCTGACTGAGGTTTTCATATCTCAGTGTACATTCACATTGTTCTACATTATAAATGATTGTTCTTTCAATATTCATTAAACTATTCCGGATTATAAGAAGTTACTAATGAGTGTTTAATACATTCATTGCATTAGTTCATTCTATCTAATAGAAAATTTAACATTTTTTGAAAAAAAAATTTCATGGGGCGGGAACGCTGATTTGCACTGCTGAGGAGTCTCACAATAGGAAGAAACGGCCTTCCAGTTCTTTCAGGTGTTCCTAAACTTATCAATAATTTAAAACGATTTCAGATGATTTTCTTGACAATAAATCAGTTAATTTCACGTTTTGAAATTATTAAGTATGATCACAAAAAGTCGATGGGTAAACAAGGTCATGAAACAAATTTCAATAATTGTGTATTTTACATTTCTTTCTCACATTCAAATTAGTGATTGAATAAGTTTTAGGTTCATAAATTGGAACATCAATTAATAATTATCAGGGTTATATATCAGCTGAAATGTAACACAATCACAATTACTTACTTTGTCTCTTTTAATGTAACATCCTGTAAGTAGGATCTATTTCGACCTTTTCTTTTAACAAAAGGTGACTTAGAATCTATATTGTTATTGATTAGCTGGACAATGTCATTTGTTGATCTTGGCTACAAAGTAATTGAAAAAAATCATTTCAGTAAAGAGTAAATACCATTAGTTAAAAACATAATGAAATGATGGAATATATTTCAACCTTCTATTAGCTATTCTAAAAATATGAAGGTATTATTTTGCATCAGTAATACATGCTCGTGAATAATAAATTCCTAAAGAAGTCGTAATATCCTGTTTATATTGAACGATAATACAGAAGAAGTTTCAGAAGAACTCAAAGCAATAAACAGAAAGTTATACTCAAAGTTTTAGAAAATAGTAGAAATTTAAGGGCTGAAATTCAATTAATGGAATTAGCTGTTAAATTCAATGGGGATTAAATGATTAACATGTTTTTCAGAGTGTGATGGCATGTCGGTAGTCGAATGAATTTGTTCTATCAAATTCATTGCTACAGAAAAGTTTAAGTCGAATTCATGTATTAAAAAGGTTACTGTTATGGGGGATTTATTTGGTTTGTAGATGGTAATCGTCACCCTCCATGTCGAAATTAAAACATCGGGCTCATTATTGGCTGATTCTAGATCAATTCTTGAAATTATTCTGAGAAGCCACAGCTTATGAAGCTCAGCTATTTGTGGGATAAATAGTCTTCATCATGGTAGTTTAGTGACACGAGTAGTCCAAAGTTAGAAATGTATGGCATTAAATGAAGACTCACTCATTTAATGCTTAGGCACCAGTTACTACATCTTTAGGTCGTGGTTTTGGCTGCTGGCGTGATCATGGATGCGTACTTTAGGCAAATCTTATACTAATACAAAATAGCAGACCAACTATTTTAGATTTTCGAGGGTAGTTCAACTAAGATGAGTCTCGAACGAACACCACCTACGAAATAATAAAAAACGATCTAGTGAGGCATATTCGTACTGTATGAACAGTGTGTTTGTATGTCTCGAAGTATCCAACTCCTTTTCAACTGATCATCCTGGAAAGCACTGATAATCATGAAATACAAAGTAACTCATTTGTTTTAGTTTAGAACCGTCAAGAATTCAATGAATTCTAAATTTCACTACATTGGAAACTGAATAAAATAGAAAATCCTGCCAGTTGAGTTCTAACTCAGGAGTTCAATGGTAGTGTTTGACTCAAAACATAACAAAATTTCTTGTTCATACTATTGAAGAGCCACAAACTAGGCTGAAATAGCTGTGTATACCCAGCAGTAGTTAATGACTAAAATCACGGTTTTATGTTATTTGAGTGTTTTCAATTTATAGTTCCACTTCTCAGTTTATTCAAGATAAAATTGGAATACTCTCATTCAGATTGCTTTAAAACAGTTTTGTGAATACTTTATGTATTCACGACTAATTTTAAGATTAAACTATTTTTTTGATAATAGAAAACAGCAGGGTACGTGAGAAACGTTCTATCTTATTTGAGTATCATCGCCTGGATGTACCTAAATCTCAGAGTTATCATTCACACAAAATCCCTAATTCCTGAATTTCAGTAATAGCAACAATCTTAGTGCAATGAAAACTTAAACTGAAACCATTATTCAAGTACCCACTTAGGATGCACATATGATAATAGAGATTGATCCGAAATTCATTCATAACACACAAACAACACTTTGAAATATAGTATAATAATAGTATAGTATGATAATAGTATAATTGGTTACTTTATTTTCCTTTAAACAAGTGGGAAATTAAAAAACCGATGAATTTTTGTATACGGAATGAATCAATTTCAGTTAAAATATTTGTGATAATTGCGTCATTGAATTTCAGGGTACAGAAGATTCTCGAATGATTTTAATAATACCTACTGAAAAAAACGAGTCATATTGTTTTCTACAATAGAATAAGCAGCAGTATGTACAGTATGTAGATCATTATAAGAAATTAGTAGACTGAAAATCATTAGGTATTGAATATATGGCTAGCTAAAATATTGGAAGGTATGAACCAATAAAATCCCTGGAAGTTTGGTTGATACTCATCATTGAGACTTGTCCTGCCTCGTATAAAATTATTTGGTTCAATGTATAATTTTAAATAAAAAAGAAACCATAGTAAAAACGATTCTTATTTAAAGGTTACTTTCCTACTTACTTACGCCTGTTACCTCTCGTCTAGGAGCATAGGCCGCACACTAGCGTTCTACATCCAATTCTCTCCCAAGCAATCCTTTCCATTTCTTTCCAGTTAACATTCATCCTTTTCATATCTGCTTCTCCTTCCCGACGTATTGTGTTCTTTGGCCTTCCTCTTTCCTGCTTCCCTTCAGGATTCCAAGGTATGGATTGCCTCGTGATGCGCATTGGTGATTTCCTTAATGTATGTCCTATCCACTTCCAACGTCTTTTCCTAATTTCTTCTTCATCTGGAATCTGGTTTTTCCTCTCCCATAAAACGCTGTTGGTGGTGTTATCCGGCCAGTGAATGTTGATTATTTTGCGTAGACAATTGTTTATAAAAAACGTGTTCCTTCTTGACGATGGATGTAGTAGTTCTCCACATTTCAGCTCCATACAGTAGGACTGTCTTGACGTTCGTATTGAAGATTGTCACTTTGAAGTTAGTTGACAATTGTTTTGAGTTCCATATGTTCTTCAATTGTAGAAATGCTGCACTTGCTTTGCTAATCCTCGCCTTTACATTTGCATCCGATCCTCCTTGTTCATCAATGATGCTTCTCAGATACGTGAATGTTTCCATCTCTTCCACTGTTTCGCCATCAAATGTACAAATTACTTTCTTCTAAAACAGCATATGTTTTAACGCATAAAAAGCAACACAACTTGTCCAATGTCTAAAAATTTTCATGTTAATTAGCTTACTAAAAAGAAAAGCAGAAATGTTATTTGATGCAGACTGGTTTCCATGAATTAGCTAAATTTATTGACTAAACCGTGAGAATGATTTATATCGATGTGATATTTAACAAAATGTAAGATAAAACATTTATGATAATCAAAGAAGCAATCAACATATCATTTAACTTACATCTTTTATAATATCATTATCTACATTATTTATTTGAGATTCTTTTTTCGTAACTGAAAAGTATGAACGAAGATGAGACAAGGTAAATCAGAGGGAAGAAAAATTCTTAAAGCTGTTCTTCGTTACAAAATGGTACTAACTGAGTGCTCATTGAAGACCAAGGGGAAGGAGCACTAAAACAATGTTTTCTTGTGGTATAAGCTCCTCATAAATCTACCAGAAGTTGAATCCAAGATTTAAACATCATAAGTTGGAGATCATTGAGTTGAAATCTACTGGTCAACATTCCTAACTTTAACTGGTTCATAATATTCAGCCTCATCATTACTGTCATTATTGGATGGATAACTACTTTACTTCTGACGTATTTGAATTCTACTAGCATATAACTCCCAATTATTTGTCTAGAATGCACTTGGCGGTGAGGCGTAATTGGGAGAACTGAAGGTTCTGAGTTTGTTAACTGGTGGAGTCGAGTTCACATTATTGAAGAAATTCACACTAAGGTAGAATAAATATCTAGTGCTTTCTGATTTCCAATCGTCCATCACTTAATATTTACCCATTACTAAAACCAGCTTGAAATAATCTTAACTAACATATCAACCAAACATAATTTATATTATTTACCTGGTAAATCCGACTGATATCTATCTTTTTTCATTTCTACGTCTGAACTTAATGTTATATCGATGACACTATGTGTGTTAACGGATTCATCTACATCAGTTTGATTAATATTGGTTAATGTTGTTTCTGATATTTCTGATTGAGATTGTTCATCAATGATTAATTGAGGCGGTGGAGCTGTTAAGAAAATGCCATGTTCTTCTGATAACTCTCGTTCTTCTAATGTAATTACTAAAATCAATTGATAAGCAATTATTAGAAAAAAAAAACAAATTTTCCTACATAAGGATACTCTTAGTTACTAATATATATATACTCATATATACATTTTAAAGTTTGTTCATTATAATAACATGTCAGTTAACTGTGTACGAAATTAATTTCAATATAACATGAAAACAGAATAGAATACTCTAAAAAAAATGCTACCATTAAATTCGTTGTTGACTGAAATAAGGTATTATAAGCAAAGATGGATAATGGCTAGTAGTGGAATCCAGAAAGTGCGTTCCGTCATATTTGGAACTCATTGGCTGGATGTAGCTGCATCTCAGAGTTGATGTTCACTCTGAGAATTGAATCCAGTACCGTTCGCTTCAAACGTCATCGCAGTCCTAAACACCAATGGGAAGATTCAAGCATACAATATCAAGTGAATTTAAATTTCACCCCTTTACACAATCAAGTGTCTATCAAGACTCAGTAGCTGAGTGGATAACTTGATGACGTTTGAAGTTAAAGGTACTGGGTTCGAGTCACAGAGTGAACATCAACTCTGAGATGCAGGTACATCCATCTGACGAGCCCCAAATAGGACGGAATGCACGTCCTGGATTCCACTGCTAGCTACTATACATCTTTGCTTATAATGCTTGCGAATTAAGGCTATATCGAGGCAATACGCACAGTATGCACATATCGCCGGTAAGAGGCTAATCAATTGCAGTCCTAATAGTCAATGGGAAGATTCGAACAAACGATACCAAGTGAATTTGAAATAAGGTATATTGAGATTGAAAATTGTTGCATATTTGTTGATCATTTCAACTAACAACATTTTATAATCACAAATAGGCTTGGTTTATTTATTTAGTATCTTAAGTTTATACTTTATATTCATTGTTTATCAGTTAAAAGTTACATTATGATTGATTAAATGGATAATAAAAAGAACAACAGTTGAAAACGCGTTTCAAATCTATTCGATGAAGCTTTACGAGGTAACATTTACTATAATAGTTAAAAAGTCAGCTATATATTTAGTTGTAAAAAGTTATTTTTAACAGTTGAATTCGTGAGTTAATCTAAGCTAGACTATCATTGAAAACCTGGAAGCATAGGATAGCCATTTCGTCATAATATGGGACTCCTCAGCAGTGCACATCTACGATCCTACAGACACGACTCGGATTTAAGACCTTTGGCCCCGCACACGAACGCTTAATCTCTAAACTACAGAGCCGACATCCAGTTGTGTTAATTTTTAACTTTAATCAATCCATAATCTTGTGCAACCTTATGATTGACTCATCCATTCAACTATTATAATTACTACAATCACCATAAACCCACATTCTGGTAAGAAGTCATTGTTTAGTGCATAATTTTCATTTTGATTTTTATCTTAAATAATAAATAGTAATGTGTCAATGCATTTGTCAACTGAAAATTTCATTATATTAAAAAATGGTTAAAAATGACAAATGTCTTATATTAACTGAATGTCACTCATGTCCACAAATATCTCTGTTGTACTGAATGCTCTAGCACAAAAAAGATAGAATAAAAACCATTGCACAAATTTTTTTATGGTTAAATGATTTAAATTAAGTTATATATTACAAGTTTTCAACAATATATTCAGGTAATAAGATACTTTTAGTTTCTATATCTAATAACAACATTTTCATTCATTGACTATGGTCATTAATGTAAGTAAATAAATGCAGAGTCTTCTGATCACTACAAGCAACTATGAAGGTATGTTCGGGATGCCATTCCCCCCTCTCGAAGTTCAAAATGTCACTTCAAGATTGGGTTGCATCGGCACCTGTACTAATGATAGAGAGTGAAATAGTTGAGCGTGTTGACAGCTTCACTTATCTCGGGAGTCTCATCAGCCCTTGTGGTCTGGTGTGTGACGAAATCTCAGCACGGATACAGAAGGCTCGTCTAGCTTTCGCCAACTTGCGTCATTTATGGCGTAGGCGAGATACCCGTCCACCAATCAAATAGTGGGTTTACTGCACATCAGTTCATTCCGTTCTACTTTATGGCTGTGAAACATGGCCGATAAGAGTAGAGGATATTCGTAGGCTACTAGTAATCGATCATAGATGTCTTCGAAACGTTGCTCGTATATTCTGGGATCACCGAGTAAGTAATGCAGATGTTAGAAAACGGGTACTAGGTAAGGATGGGAAATCGATTGATGAAGTAGTGAAACTTCATCAGTTGAGATGGCTGAGACACGTGTTACGTATGCACAGTCACCGACTACTCCGTTGTGCAATATTTTATGGTGTAGGAGTAGGTTGGAAGATAGCTAGGGGCGGCCAGACCGAAACGTAGCACAAATCCATGAAGTCACTGACAAGAGGACTGAGCCATGTTGGTAGCTGTAGACTACCTGATCGGGATTTACGAGATGATAATAATCGATGGTTAAAGACCTTGAATGACATGGCTCAAAATCGTTTGCAATGGCGAAGGTGCATCCAATCTTTGTGTTCTGCCTAATTCTAATCTTCTAAATTCTTCACATCTCTATCTTTTTCTCTTTTCAAATTCATTTCACTAGATTATACTACTTGAATAGAATCTTCAAACCCCAATCTTTCCAATAACTGCTTATACTCTTACTACTTCTACTACTATAGGATATGAATCGACAACTACATCTTTGTGTTAATGTGGTATGGCTACTCGAACTGGTGTACGTACGTACGAAGTTCTACGTTGTGACTGACTGACTGAATGTAAGTAAATATGTGAAGTTTGTCCATGTTTATAAGCAGCTCATCAAAGTTTCCACCAGCTAAACAAATGATTACAACAGGTTTTGTTCAAGGTAACTCACTACAAATTACTGCTTATAGTTAGTTGAAATTTCTAACTGTTTATGGATAGAATATATACATGAAGAGTGATAAGACTTAAATAAAATACATTAAACTTACAATATCTTGGAGAAAGTACAAACAATGAATCCAACTACTTTTACCTAAGAGCTGTATTTCTATACTAAGATATGATGTAGTACAATATTAGATCGAATGAACTTCAAGTTATGTAAGCCAACAATCTAGAGGATTTATAAGTACACTTTTTCAATATTATCTTAGTGTTAGTGATTTAATAAATCGGCGAAGTACAAACATAAGCTGGAGTGAAGTTTATATTATTGAAAGATATTAAATGATGACTATAATATATATGGAATGGACTGTAATTGAATATATAACATATTTAATTAAAACTCCCTAGTCTATAGAGTCGATTTTTATAGCATGACCTGGATGTGGTTTTTCAAACCTTCTAAGAGTTCTAAGAGCTTTTGAAACACTTGTTAATTGACGTACAATTCTCTATAGTTCGCTCAACTAATTGGAGTTCACGATAATGCTGTTTTGTCCTAGTATTAACCTCCTTGGGAGTGCGCACCTAAGATAATTACCATGTTCTCATTGGTGATTAATTTCAAGAGGCAATTCTGGGATTCTAGTGAGAGGCTGTGATCGGTAAACCTCAACTGTGTCAGATGTGAGGCAGTCATTCATTGAAGACAATAGAAGATGATGGAGTGGTACTGTGAATTGATTGAATTTAGATATATATATTACTAGATTTTGCTTCAGTAGTCTAAATTATCAGAGTTTGTGTGCAAGCCTGAAGATCCTGGATTTTAACCTTAGTGAGATCGTGGTTTTTCGCTGTTCAGGATCTTTATTAGTTGCCTTACTGAGATGGATTAGTGATATTCACAACATTCATTAATCTCTTTAAACCTTCATACTAATCGTTGTTTTTCGAATGATTACCAAATTCTATCAAACATATGTGTACAGCTATGCCAACTAAATTCAACGCTGAATATGTTATTGATGATAAATTACAAAACTGAAAATTGAACTAAATTAACTTAGTACTGTTTGCTTGAATCTCCTCATTGATATTTAAGACTGCAACTGGTCAGTCTCTAATTAGCATATGTGCATACTGTGCGTATTGCCTCGATATAGCTTTAATTCACAAGCATTATAAACAAAAATGGATAGTGGCTAAAAGTGGAATCTTGTCAGTCTTAAACATCAATGGGAAGATTCAAACAAACAATATCAAGTGAATTTAAACTTCACCCCATCGCATAAGCAAATGGCTATCAGGACTCAGTAGTTGAGTGGATAACGTGATGACGTTTGAAGCGAAAGGTAATGGGTTCGAATTACAGAGTGAACATCAACTCTGAAATGCAGGTACGTTCATCTGACAAGTCCCAAATAGGACGGAATGCATTTCCTGGATTCCACTTCTATCCCCTGTCCATCTTTGCTTACAATGAAAATTGAATTGTTATATAAAACACTTTCACACTTGAATACAAAAAAATACTTTATTCGTCATAACAAAAATATTTTTTTATTCATATTACCTTCTTGATCTAAATGCATTAAACTTTGTATATTCCGAATCACCGTACATCTATATACTACTAATGAATCACATAGTACTTTTTCATTTCTTTCATAATTTTTAACTAAAATAAAAGTTAATCATTTAAAATTAACAAGAAAATGATTAATCTACAATAATGACAACATGGATTTCCACTTAACCATAATTTTTCAAGCATATTTAAATATTTTAAATGTGCCACTTCATCAATATTTACAATTTGATTACTGCGTATATAAAGTTCGCATAGATTTAAGCAATTTGAAAATGGTTCAAGTGATTGTAAACAATTTGAACTATGAAAAAAATGTGATATATATATCAGTGAATATTGAAATATGAATTACCTCATATTAATAATTTTTAAATTTGGCATACATTTTAAAGTTGAAACATGTTTTAGTTTTAAACCCCTATAAATATGAACAATCCTAATTGAAATCATTTATTTACCATAAATTTAATTTAGTAATAAATTGTACATTTTCTCCCCTTGAACGTAACATAATTAAATTGGGTGATAGATATCCATCATGTAATTCTTCTTCATCAGTTAAATTATTATTTATAGTTTCTTTGACTGGCATTTGGTTTTAAATAATTCGATAATACTAAAAAAAGAGATGAAAATATAGCTGCGAATACTAAGAACATATATATATATATATATATATATATATATATACATTATAGGTGAGATCATGAGTCAATTGAATCTAGACCACCATGAAGAACATGGAGGCACTGGACAGCCGTTTCATCCTATTGCGGGACTCCTCAGCAGTGCGCATCCACGACCTTGCCTCGTGAGACTCGAACCCAGGGCCTACCAGTCTCGCGCCAGAACACTTAATCGATAGGCCACTGAGTCGTCATCCAACGGTGTTGATGTCTAACTTCAATCAATCCTGAGTTCGAATCTCGCGAGGTGGGATCGTGGATGCGCACTGCCAAGGAGTCCCACAAGAGGACGAAACGGTCGTCTAGTGCCTCCATGTTCTTCATGGTGGTCTAGCTTCAATTGACTCATGAGCTCATCTATAAAAATTACAAAAATCTCCCCCAAACCCCCTTCTGATATATATATATATATTATTAATTTGGTTATTTATTCTCTGAAGAAGTGGCTTACACTGAGTCATAAAACGTCAGAAAATCTAATTTTTCTACTCCTTGGGATATTAAATATATATATATATATATATTAGTTCGATTGTCAAAAAATCTATAATGTACACGAATATTCGTCAAGACGTAAACGCGAATTCTGACAGAATTTGAGCATCAAGTAAAAAGAAGACATTGTTTGCATATACTGTATTCGGAATTACAACTCACTGTTTGTTACTAAGGCATTTTTTTAACTACATAGTAGATTTTGATGAGTAAAAAATATATTGGTAACTTTGGTATGTTAATCGACTATAAATACAGATCAGAAACTATGTTAATAAATTAGGATAAATTCACTAAACGTCAGTGAAATAACAAAAAAATCGTAAGCTCTGACAATTAGTTTGATATACCAGAATCTCTATGTATTTTTACGGAACTGAAACGTGGAGAACTACTACATCCATCGTCAAGAAGGAACACGTTTTTTATAAACAATTGTCTACGCAAAATAATCAACATTCACTGGCCGGATAACACCACCAACAGCGTTTTATGGGAGAGGAAAAACCAGTTTCCATTTGAAGAAGAAATTAGGAAAAGACGTTGGAAGTGGATCGGACATACATTAAGGAAATCACCAATGTGCATCACGAGGCAATCCATACCTTGGAATCCTGAAGGGAAGCAGGGAAGAGGAAGGCCAAAGAACACAATACGTCGGGAAGGAGAAGCAGATATGAAAAGGATGAATGTTAACTGGAAAGAAATGGAAAGGATTGCTTGGGAGAGAATTGGATGTAGAACGCTGGTGTGCGGCCTATGCTCTTAGACGAGGGGTAACAGGCGTAAGTAAGTAAGTCTATGTATTTTTTTTTACTAAAATTGTAAGTATTGTATTGATATTGAATATGCTCTAAAACGATGATTCTACACATATACTAACTTTAAAATCAGAACACATAAAAATTGTACACAGCGCTTGAAGTCTTTTCTACAAACCAGTCTTCTCTAAAATTGATTTATTCAGCTTAGGTTTCGTGACAAATCGATTAAGCACTTATGAATATTTCGGGAAAATAAAAAAATGTTAAGGATGATGTAATATAGACTTCCTTTCTTCACTGGGAAAGTGAAACATGAGTTGTGTTATTTCAATGGAACTAATTATTTAAATGTGTTGTCCTAATTATTTAGTCATAAATATTCGTAACTTATTTCAGCCGAAAAAAGACATACGACTTTGGTTCAAAACTTATAGTTATTTAATATAGAATAGATGAACTTTAGTAGCAGTAGAATCAATGATGTGCACTTTGTCTTACTTAGAACTCGTTAGCTGGATGTATCTGCATTCCGAAGCTGACTTTCACCTCAGGATTCTAACCAAGTAATGCTTGTTTCAACCTAAAGCTACTGAGTGTATTTAGTCAATTACTTGTGCAAAAACAGAATAGTTCAAAACATTAGAAATTAAATTATCAGCATTTCACTTTTGTTTAAGTGTCATTGAAAAACGGTGTTTTCTCACCAATATAATTTTGAAAACCACGCCTATATACTACACGGAAATAGTATTTTTAGAACGGCAAGTAAGACATGCAGTATTAGGATTATTTTTTTGGATTAAATAGTGTCATTAAATTTTATTATTGTCAGTAGACTTTAGATTATTTTCTGCCTACGCATTGAATTTCATTTAATATCATAGTAATTATTCTTCTATATATTTGAAAAGAAAGAATTAATGTTCATGTATGTTTTTATCGTGGTTATAATGAATTTATAGATCCGTAGATGAAACGTACATTTTGATCTCGCAAACATCTTGGTGAACTCAGAGGCACCCAATTCTAATATTTACGGAAGCTTTGATTATGAATTAAATCAAACTAATCATATCAGAACACCGTGGAAGTGATGATTATAATGGAGATCAAACATAGTACAGATCTACAGTATGTACATCTTTTCCTAGAAACTAATTCAAAAGTGGAACAATTTCGAATTTGAAACAAAAAGAATGTCAGTGTTTAAAAACTCTCAATGTCGACAGTGTCTGTGTTGGATATAAATATAAACAACTCTCCTAATGGTGACTTCCAAGCATATAGCTTCACTTATTGGTAATTTCGAAATGCGAAATGTTAATGTTTCACGTGATCAATGAATCTAAACTTTTTAGGGACTATCCATAAGCTTCTGTTGTTATTTTTCAAATAGATTTACTAATCGTACGGCCGTATATTTTTGTTGATTTCTTAGTGTCTCAATAATTTCATCTACATGGAATTTAGATTTGTCGAAAATCTAAGCAATGCTACTTGTGAAATTTTCTTAGAGCTTGAATTTCTTACGCAGAAGTTGAAAGCTTTTGTATAAAATCGGGACTTCATAGGCTTAATAGTTTCCAAGTTTTCATATTATCAATACTATTGTGAAACACTGTGACGTAGAGATATACTTTCTTTGTTTTTAGAAGGTGATCTGTCAAACACTAAGTTTGAAGTTGCTCTTGGGGACGTAATACACCAAACTAGTTATTTAAACTTCAATGTACACAAAATACGACGATAAATGGAAACTATTTAGTCCCATGAAATTATATATTTGTATTTCCCCGAAAGAAAACTAGGTGTTACTTGTGTTTTCAAGAAGGAAACCATCGTTTTATCGAAAACCAAATAATACTAGGTGAACTATATTTAGTGAAGATTTCTGAATACAAAGAACATTAAATTTTGGAATAAACCAGTCTTCAATATGTCATGATCTATATATAGTAATACGTTTGATTTAGGTTAGATAGCATGACGATTACCAGTTATAAGTTTCAATTCATAACTAGTTCAACATAAATTGTCATTGATAATATATTGTTTGCTAGAATCTGATTAACAATTCATAAGAGTTCTCAGTAGTCGAAATTTAGCATTTCCTGATTTGTTTTTCCTTGTACACCTACTTGGGTCCATGAATAGCAATTACTTATTTAACTGATAAAACAGAAATCTAAAATAAACGTAAGGGGATTAAACACGAAAGTAAGTTTAAATATAATAGTCTGCTTGCAATTATCTTCTGTAATGAAGTCAAAATCAGAGCTAGGGCGTCTTTAGATTTTTTAGCGGAAGTGCAAACAGTTGTTAGCTCTCTCTCTTCTACGATATTAATTTTGACAGAGGACTACGTTACGATCCGAGTATGAAGTCAGTTTAGTTGTAAAGCTACACAGTTATGTATATGTGGCAAATTGAAAGCCAAAAAAACAATCACAAAACTATGCAGATAGATTTCATATAACGTTTAGCACATAAGCATAAATAAAAATACTCGTTGACCCACAATTTGTCACATATAAACGATAATAAACCACTGAAAAATCAATTAGACGTATGTAATGTAGAAAATGGCACAAATCTGTCCCGACTGAGGTAGTCACACCCCGCCAACATAGAGAAAAGAATTTCAGAGCTGAGGAGGTGGCAATAATATCAATAATAGTAGTAGGAAAGATTAGCCGTGGAAAAAAGAAAAGATGAAGGGAGACTTCGATACTCAGGAACTTTGTAAAGAAGAAGATTGGATGCACCCGTGTCATTGTCGTGTCATTCAACGTTTCCAACAACTGATTATGACAACTAAGCAGACACTAACTTTGTAATCTGCTTGTTTACCTGCATAACTTAGTCCAATCGTCAATAGCCTCACGTACGAGTTGATCCAAACTATCATACCTCAGTATGCGTAGTGATTAAAAAAAGTGAACATCAAATGTATGATTGAAGAAAATGCTGATTGGTGAAACAAAAGCACCAAAATATGAGGAATTCAAAAGCTCAAAATATGGGAAAGACAAAAAGCGGATGCATCTGTACTTTTGCAAAAGATTTTGTGACATGTTATTCAAAGTCTCTAACCATTGGTTATGATTATTAGGCGGACCTCTGACAGGTAGTTTAAACCCACTAACATGGTTTTGTCCAACTACCAATGACTTCAAAGATTGATGTCATGTTTTGATTTGACCGATAGTAGCTTTCTTCCAGCCTACTTCTACACTAAAAACATCACCCTTCAAGGTAGTTGGTGGTGAAGAACATATAACACTTGTCTTGACCACTTCAGCTTATGAAAAGTCCTCACCTTATTACTTATTTATGAATCTTCACTTGGCATCATGTGACTAACCTCAGTACTGAATATCAGGCTATCATTACGTGCGTAACCAAAGCTTCAAAGGCACCTACGATCAAATACTGCTAACCTTAGAGTACAGTTTATTTTTAGTGGCCTCTTTTCACATATACAAAGCGAAACAAAACATAGAGCTGCTGTTCAGAAATTCACATTTTGGTGGACAGATGAACAGCTGACCTGCACCATAGGTAGAGCGTGTTGGCAAAAAAAATCCTTCTGAATTATTACTGATATTTCGTCACATATTTAACGCACTAGAACTGATGAAATTCGA